TACAGGCACAAGTTCCGAACATTCCTTTAGACACCACTAACACACAGAAATGCTTCAAGTTCATCTATTACAACACAAGCAGCTCGGATTGCAGGATACATTAGGCAATGGACTATTTTTTCACTTCCATGTTTCGACATTTTGCCAAAAGAAACAGTTGCAATGAATGTCTGGCAGTAAATATTTGTAAGCTATGATCTTGCTATTGGAAAATGTAATGTCTCATGTATACGCAAGCAAAAGGAAATGTATGTTTTTCTCACTCTATGTACTTGAAGCTGCGGCGGTCTCAGTATACCGCGAGCTGTAGCTCGCAATATACTGAGCTTTGGGTCACGGGAAGACGCTAGTTTATGTCCTCCCGTGACCCTTAAAAGAACTATGGGGAAAAACACTGACCCCAGTTCTCTTTTAAGAAAACACAAGGCTGAAGACAATATGGCAATGCTGAAGGAGCCTCTACAATTTTGGCTAATGGCCTGATTAGGCCTAATCTGACAATGAATGTTAAGAGCACTTAATGCCGATAAAGTAGAGTCCTTATCAGATAACTACAGGCTACCCGCAATAGAGAATAGGTATTGGCTAGAAAAGATGCGCTGAACTGGGTCACAGGTCACGCTATCATTTTTATCAGCCTGTTTTAGGCCCCATTCACACACGAATCGGCCTGCACGTACAGCTCCGTGCTGCGTGCGGGGCCGTACCAAGTCGCTGAAATGTTAGGAGGGGCTGTGAGGGGTCTGAAGTGACTTGTCCACTGTATGTTAATGAAGCCTATCAGATAAACACAATCCTCAAATTTCAGCCCAAGGTCTTTCCATTGGGACAGATCATTGTGAAAGGGCTCAGAAAACATTGGAATCAGCCATCTTGTCTGATCTAACAAAACATCTAAAAAGGTAAGACTTGTTTTATTGGAGCAGACACAATCTGGAGCAGTTGCCTATGGAAGCAATCAGCTTCTCCGTTTCATTTTGAAAGCTTAACTGAACAAACAGAAGAGATAAACTCATCAAGATTCTGTCTGCTCTAGTTTTTAATTGCCCCCAATGTTTTGGCTGGAGTTCTTGTGGCCCTCACATGGGTTGAACTTATTATTCCAAAGCTGCAAACCACTCAGCGTGCATCAACCAGGTATACGAAGCAACATGAATTGCTTAATTTCACAACATACAGAGGTGCGCTAATTCTTTGCATTCCTATCAGGCTTCACATGCCATCTGAAACTTTCAGATCCACCTGATATTGAAACTGCTCTGTAAATGAAATGGGAAGAGTAAGAGCAAGAGTGATCGGTACTACCTGAAGCTGAAACAATATCATATGTCATACTGTTTTAACATTATATATATTTTCCTTGCTTTCCTTCCTTGCACAGCAAGGAAAAGTTCCTTATAGACTTTTCCTTGCTGTGTATATATGTCTAGATTCTTTTTTTTACCACCATATTTTAGCAGAAATAAAAGGAGTTAAAAGAAAAAAGGACAGAAAACAAAAACAGAAAGACCACTATAAGGTTGCCCATCCTACTTCTAGAACATTGCTGAGCTGTCCTTGTATAAAACTTGCAGGCTTCTCTATGACAGATCATCCAAACGTTCCTGGATTCAAGCTTCAACACAAATGTTGCTGTACATGATAAACCAGTTCACGGGGTACATTCTACACAATAAATATTGATCCTAAAAAATGTTTACTGCACACTTAAGCTGCCCCCCAAGTACTGGAACTGCTCACTTTAGATCCTGCTGACCTTGAGCAAACGAACCCACTTAGTAACGTACTTCTGTCTTTTTTCAACTCTACGGTCAGACAGCCTCACCATCTATAGTAGTCAACAAGCCTTGGCCGGGCTCAGGGGCCTATTTTAAGCAAAGCTGCTACATTACAGTGATGTGTAGTTCAAAGTGATAGAATAACATTTGTCCGTGCAAGGATGAGGCAGAACCCTGATACAGCCAGCAGGCACAGAAAACATTTTACTTCACCTTACTTGTTTTAAATAATATATTTTTAAAAATCCAGTATATCCCGATATATTTCTTGATTTATAAAATGCTCACCTAGCGACACTAAAATGAACAGTTAAAGTAGATGTACCCCAGGCACTAAAATCCCATACAGGCTTCAACATGTAATTTCACATCTCATTTTCCATATCTTTAAATCGAAGGCTTTTATCAACACAATAACTGGTGATCCTGCCACAGAGGTCTAACACTGTCCTTCCTTCTGGAGGGGGGCTACTTTTGTTCCCCATGGTCCCTGTGTGTTGTAAAGTAGCCACCTCTCCAAGCTCACTCACGTGATGGACTACATTCTCATGTTTAGTTTACCAATTTGTATTGAGATTGTAGTCCATTACAGGAATCAATTGAAGAAATGTCACCAGCACAGTTCACCAGTTCATTTAATAAGAACCATGTCAAGTAAAAAAAAAAAAAACGCTTTCGGTACACGCAGGGTCCCTTCATCAGGCTCAACATTGACGTGGTCTATGACAGTGCTTCTTAAAGTGTGGGTCGCGGCCCCATATGGGGTCCCACAAGTGAACAGGGGGGTCGCGATCTGAGTCCCCGGCCAGGGCCGCCATCAGGGGGGTACAGTCGGTACTTGTGTGAGGGGCCCAGGCGGCTGGGGAGGTCTGGGCTCCAAGCAAGATTTGTTTTTTCTTTTCGTTTAATGTGCAGTGTAGTGTAGTTTTTAAGGTCGCATACCCCCCACCTCTGTGCACTTGGTACCTTCCTGAGCACGTGCATGCAGGAAGGTTTTTTTTTTTTTACATTGACGGAGCTTCCTTTAACCCAGCAGAAGTGGAGCACAGCTGCTGGAGGTAAAGATAAGGAGGGAGAGGGGGCTTAGTAGTAGGTGGTAATGACACACTGACTGTCCGTCCACGGCGGGGGGGGGGGGAGAGGAGGAGAGAGACACCGACTGACGCTAGGGGAGGGGGGGGAACACCAACGTTGAGGGGAGAGACACCGTCCGATGCTGGGGTCCCCTAAAAATTTCCTCGGCCAAAAAGGGGTCACGAGTGGAGAAAGTTTAAGAAGGCTTGGTCTATGATACTTGTCATGGTTCTTATTAAATGAACACATGGTTATCCTGAAAGGATTTTCGGTGTGCTGGTGACATTTCTTCAATTGATTCTTGTAACCAGCGGTGCCATCCACAGTCACTACAAGCACCCTCCCCTGTCATTGGGGCATCCGGTAAGGAGTGCAAAAAGTTTATTTCTATATTCTGTAGTCCATTACAGGACTACAAGGTGTGGAGTTCTGCTTTAAAATGTTGCCCACATTGATATATATTTAAGATTTTAAATGCTGTGTATGCCCAAATTGAGGGATCTCTCTATTCTTCCTGTTCTTACACCATGAGTGGAGGGAGAGCACTATGTACCAATGTTGGCATGTTTCCGGCACTGGGGGGGGTCTATGCAAGTTTACAAAAAGAGACAAGCACAGGGTATCACCAGTGGGGTGATGCGCATTCCTAATCCAGTGAAAAGATACAAGGTAACACTAGAACCATAGTGAGTACCAGTGTCATTCTTCTGGTAAAGTACTTAGTCAGCGGGCACCACTTTTGGGGGGGTCAAGTATGAAAGCTTTTGCTAGATACAGACATCACCCTACTGATCCATTAACATGGAAGACCTTATCAAGATTATGGCGTGTCACGGTCACTAAAATGTGAGTGTGACTAAGCCTTGGATAGGATGCATAAGCCATGATACAGGGAGGCAGAACTTGTTATTTTCAGCAATGGATTACAGAACTGGTTATTTATGGAAATCAGTCTCTTGTTTCTCAGCAGTTTACAACCATGATTCATTTGTGCTATAAGCTGAAGCCCAGGCAAGCAGCTAAATAAACCAATAAGATGTAAACATGGAAGAGGTTTTACCTGCCAAAGGACTTATAATGCTGTCCAGACAGGTTTTGTGATACCGGCACTCCTGCCAGACAACACAATGAGCTCCCAAATGCTTTCCAGCACACAGGACCTCGGCAACTTCTGAAGTTTAATGTTTAGGTTTAGATAAAAGGTCTCCAGTTCCCACTCCATACCCCACTAACATATTCAAACAAGTTAAAATACCCACCCAAGTGTCCACTTACCCCTCTACAACAGCACTAATCTCCCACAGTGTTTACATGCTCCAATCAGAAATTAGTGCTGACACTGTCCTTCCTTCTGGAGGGGGGCTACTGTTGTTGCCCATAGTCCCCGTGTGTGTTGTAAAGTAGTCACGGTTCCAAGCTCGCTCCCGGAATTGGCTACAATCTCATGTTTAGTTTACTAATTTGTATTGGGATTGTACTCCATCACAGGAGCGAGCTTGGAGCAGTGACTATTTCATAACACACACAGGGACCATGAGGAACAAAGTAGCCACCTTCCAGAAAGGACAGTGTCAGCACCAATTCAGAGATGATTTCAGGATCTACAGTTAAGTAATACACAAATAAGATACATTTTTGTTATTAATGTACTTGAATGCATTTTTAGGATTTAACGCCTGAGTTTAGCGTTACTTTAAAAGAAAAAAGCCTGGATATCCATTGGGTGTGTAGGACTACACGTTATAATATACAGACACCATGATCATTACATAACAAAACAACTTACTATATGTATAAAACAGCAGCATACCAAAAAAAAAAAGGATTCTACTCTTGGACAACACTTGTACAGCAAAACTATCAATGCACAAATTAAAACCCCCCTATTGGCTTTGATGCAAGCTCTGATAAAAATAAGTTTATAAAATGTCAACACTTAGACATGTTAAGCCCAAACATATTCCGTCTATAATAAACAACTGTCAATTTCACAATCCCAGATTTAAAAAAAAGCCAGATTGGAAATTGTGTTTTGAAAATAGGATCAGCAAAGATATAGAAAAGACCAGCCTGCAAGGAAGAGTCAGTAACTGTGGCAATATAGTATGCACAGAATAAACTAGAAAATGAAACCTGGGCGAGTCTTACCTGTAGTAACGAGACTGCAAATATGTTGAGCAAACAGTCTTTGATATATGGCTAGCAGAGCCAAAGTCTATGACTTTCACCCTGTACGGCTGTCTTACAGGATCCACCAGCATGATGTTTTCAGGTTTGAGGTCAGCGTGAATTAAACCAAGACTCTTCAGCTTTTTCAGTGCAGTAGCCACCTGCTGTAGGATGGCCCGGATAACTTTCAAGGGCAGAGGGCTGAATTTGTTTTGCTTTAAGAAGTCATATAAGTTCTGTTCCAACATCTCAAAAACCAAGCAGGTGTGGTTCCGATGCTGGAAACACTCGTACGCACGCACAAAGTTAAACTCATCCGCGTTCTCGCTGCTCAGCCTGGCAAGGATGCCCACCTCGATCTGCCCCTGGCGTGCATAAGAAGGATGGTTTTTTAAAATTTTGACCGCTACAACTTCATTTGTCCCCCTTTTCCAGCACTTGACTACCTGTCCAAAGGTTCCCCGACCCAGAAAATCAAGTACTTCATAAGTATTTTTTACCGAGCACAACACTTCATGCTGTACCAACTGATAGTCCCCATCCACGTTACCCCCGTTCTGCTTAGGCGCTCCTGTGGTTGCCACAATAGTTACTGGGTTTGCTGCATTGCCTGGCAGCATAGCAGGCAGCACGGACAACTCGTCAACAATTTGCATGGTGCCACCTTGGTTCTCCAAATCTTCACTCTTACGCTTCAATCCACATCTCTGATGTGTTTCCAGCAAATCTGATCCACAATCCGGTGATCCAACAGTGGGTGTCTCTTTCGGATCTGGCTGCGCCCGCGCTGCTGGGTCCCCTGGAGCACCTGTGTTGGCTTTTAATGCGACTGTGCTGATCTGGGAAGCCGCAGTCTGCTGGCGAGGTCTGTCGAATGAATTCTTTGTCTGGATAGGAGCCCTATTCTTATTGTTTGGACGTGCAAATCCAAGGTTTCTAGCATTCAGGTCGGTGCGTGGATAGCTCCTCTTGTTGTACACACAACTGCTTGGTTCAACTTTCAGTTTCTTCACTTTACAAAAGGCACTTGACTGAGTTTGATAAACATATGGTGGGTATACCAAAACTTGTGAGGCCATACCTGAAAATACAGTAATAAGAAAGATGTTAGTATTGCAAAACATGACTCAGCATTATCATTATTTTCAATACATAGTAGCAGCAGTCTCAACAGGTTGCCCCAAACTTTCTTTGGTAAGCCAAGAAGTCAAGCGCATCTGAATGAATCAAAGGCATTCCCAGGTCAACCATGAGATACAAAACCTCCATTTTATTCTAGGTCCTCCATTGTATTTTCCCTTGAGGTCTCCACCTAAATATATGCGCCTGGAACATCTACATAGGAAGCCCAAACTGCAACCAACCGCACTTAATATGCAATGACTACTTAAAGCTAAGAGCTACAGCTGTCTCCTATTGGACAGATATTCAACAAGTGAGGAACTCCTAAATAGGGGAGAAGGAGAGCAGATTGGCTGCAGCCTTGTGAGACACCATAGGCTGACAGCCCAGAAACAGGGAGCATATCGAAAATCCGGCACGGATTTCCGGATATTGTGACAGGGAACATATAAATTCTATCATCCTGCTTACGAAGCAGGAAAACTAGATCACAAACAGACCCAAAGCTTGCATGTGTGGTTATAAATCGTTGTATTATCAATGTATTATTGTAGGTCTTAGAGCTTGTTCACACCAATTGCGGTGCATTCCAGAGCGGTAGCTCCTGGAATGCACAGCAATCGCTCACTAAACTTCCCCCTTCGTTCTGGGGCGGGATGGGGTGTGGCGATGCATTGAAGTCAATGGCACCGCAGCCACGCCCCACCCCCAACAGTGCGATCGGACATGTGGCAAAACATTGCCTGTGATCTGTCCCACTGCGTACACACAAAAAATGCTACATGCTCTATTTCTTGCATTGGACCGGAACGCAGGCAAAGTTTTGCCACGCGTCCGATCACACTGCAGGCAGGGGGGCGTGGCTGCGGTACCATTGACTTCAATGCACCGCCACGCCCCCCTACCACCCCAGAACGAAGGGGGAAGTTCAGTGTGCGATTGCTGTGCGTTCCAGCAGCTACCGCTCTGCAAAGCGCCGTAATTGCTGTGAACGGGCCCCTAAAGTATTGCCTTAAGCCATAGGGCCAACCCCTGAGGGATCTTTGGGTCAAGATTCCAAGGAGTGAGCAAAACTCCAGAGTTGTTTCTTAGCATAGTTCAATCAAAACTTATTTTCCAGTTTTAAGAAACTGTTTAAGTAAATAAAAAGGTTAAAGTATCTCTAGAGCCAAATCTTTACACATTTTTTTCATTTTAGGGGTGGTAACAATCCCTGAAATCTGTCTCTTATCTGGTAGGCTTCCTTTCACTTCCTGCATCATAGACAAAAAAGGAAATTTCTTCTGAGTGGAAATCTGGCCTTACAAAGTCATCACAGCAGCACATGTACCCATTAAAATATTTCCACTCTAATCCTCTTCCAGTGATGACTCAAAATGTTTCTTTCCTGGTGACAACGTTAAATACAGAAGGTGACCCTCCTGTAAGGGGACAGAGACAGGTGCAAACTGTACCACACACTATCCAAACCTTTAAAGAAAAAAAGTTTTGGCTTTATTTACACTTTAAACGCAACTCGGTTCAAGCAGATTGTCCTGTTTGGGGTTTATCCCCAGTTTTCTACTCTCGATGGGGCCCCGAGAGGCCTAAATTCTATACCAGCCAGTGTAGCTGAAGCATTGCTTAATTCTAGAAATATGTAGAAACTTGAATTGAAGTTAGCCGGGGTCCACCCAAAAAGTGATCAATCTTTTTTTAGTTGGAGTTGTGTTTTAATACGATCCTTTGTGGCATTATACCTGTAGAAGAGGCATAACAGGCAGAACCGGAGTGAATATCTAAATGACCATTACAGTAAGCAGCTAGTAGCAGAATCTTATCAGTCCAGACTATTACTGTTATTGCACATGAGTAAAAGTCCTTTTCATGTTCGTCACAGTGTTTGTACAAGTCAGGACAACATGAGCACACTGAAAGTTATACTGTAACCAGCGCAAAACCAACAGTTTCCTCTAGCTAGCAGAATATTTTCCACCATACTTCACAGAACTGATGCAGAGAAATATTAACTGTGACTTTCCTGGAAGCAAGACTGCATGTGCTGTGCAAGTTCAGCCACAAACCATGTGACTAAGAGCCTCCGGCTTCTATACTTCAAGGTCCACTAAAGCACTTACTGCTTGTAATAAATAGCCACACAATTAGATTCTTGATTTTCCAAGCCAACCTAAAACATTTTTTTTAAACTACTTTCATTGTCTTAAATTTAAATACAAACAGGCTCAGTTTTAAAGTGACACTAAACATTAAAAATGCATTTAAAGTACCTTAAAGGGGTCCACTGCATCTGAGTGAGGAAAAGCTGGCAGATGCAGTCATTGTTTGGGTATTGAGATAGCCCGGCAGAGGAGAATCCTCCATCCACGCTATTTAGCATGGACGGGGGAATCGAGTTCGTTCTCTCTATCTCTCTCTCATGGCTAGCTTCAGCTATGCACGCCAAATCCGACCACCCTCAGGCGTAAACGCTGCCTGCAGGTCTATAAACACAAACAAACATTCAACTCAGCTTGACATTCTTGTTTGTGATGGACTCGAATTACCATACAAAGGAAAAGGCTATACTTCTGGTGTCTATGAATCAAACCAAATTCAAACTACAGCCATCATTCTACACAACATAAAAACTTCAAACCCACTGATGGCAAAACCCCTTATCAGTATGCACACGCACACACAGGCCTGCAAGATAATAATAACACTTACAGCACAGAAGACAGAGGCCTTACATACAACAGCTAAATATAGCTTTGCATAGAAGAGCTGATAAATATACAAAAAGCTAATAAAGTCATAGTCCCAACAATATAAATACATTGATGATGAAGGAAATGGTAGCACATACACAAGATGTCTTTGATAATACAAATATGTAGGTGAATTGAAGATTTTGAAGCATGGGTTACTTTCCTACTACACATTTTCCACTCACAAAAGCAAAGTATTTATGGGAGAGAGAGAGAAAGGAGAGAGAGAGGACACACGCGCACACGCACACTTTGTATTTTTTTTTTTTTTTATTGCAAAACATGGATAGGCATTGTATACTTTTTAACCTGGGGGGAACTAATTACATTGGATAAAAAATGACACTGAAGAAGACGGATTATTATAAAACGTGTAAGACAGTCAGTACAGTGGAGGAGACAACTGACCCTTAGTGAGCCACAAGCTGCAGGTCACCATGTGATGATGTGGCGAGTAGGCGGGTGATCCTCAGGCTGACACACAAAAAATGACAGCCAAAATGACAGCCAACCCAAGGAAGACCAGACCTGCCCACTTGTCCACATAATGAGGACACAGGCACTGATGGTAATACAAGCAGCATGCCGGCCACCTGCTACAAAGCTAATCTACTCACAATGCACATTTTAGCAGAGTTTAAAGATAATATCATTGGAGGGGGGTGCAAACTGCTGCAGTCATAAAATAGAGGAAGCTAGAGGTGCCAACCCATACCTCCAGCAGTCTCCAAAACCTTCCTTCCTTCCATTTCACTCTTCTGACAGGGAAAGCTTCAACACTTGGCTGCTCTTTCCTACCTCCCCTATTGCCGAGTGAGGCTGCCCACCATAGTGATAAGCAAAAATAAATTTGTGATACTTCCGATATCAGGAAACCGGGCAGCGAGTCATTACACGCTGCTCGGCTTCCTGATTGGCTGGGAAGCCGGCTCCATGTTCCCTTGTCACTTGTGATGAGAGAGCATGAGTCGGCTACCCGGCCAATAAGGAAGCCGGGCGCCGTGTAATGACGCGGTGTCCGGCTTTCTGATTGCCTGGGAAGCCGACTCCATGCTCCCTCACCACCTTGTGACGAGGCAGCAGGAAGCCGGGCGCCGCGTCATTACACGGCGCACAGCTTTCTGATTGGCCAGAAAGCCGGCTCCGTGCTTACTTGTCACCTAGAGACGAGAAGCATGGAGACGGCTGCCCGGCTAATCAGGAAGCCAGGTGGTGAGTCATCACACGCCGCCTGGCTTCCTTAATGGGACTTCCAGTATCAGTATTCGGTATCGGCGAGTACCGGGAAAAACAGGCAGATTGAAATGCTTAAAAAAAAAAAAAAAAGAAGAAGAAGAAGAGGTGGTGGTACCTGCTGTGTTTCTTTAGGCACATCGGTCTGACTGGCTCCGGGGATTTGTTCAGCCCTACTCCATTCCCGCTTTGAACTAACTGAGCATAATTCCATGACTTCACCCTAACATGCTGCTACACTGCGATGGAACCAGCCATACAGTGATAGCAATTAACGTGCAGGGTGCAAGTCTAAAGTACAGATTTGTACCATAAATTCTGACCTACTTATGAATACCTGTCATAGCCCTCAAACCCTTCACGAGCTAACAGAGTGATGTGATCATAACCAGGTCAAGAATTTCTGTGCCACCCAATTGAAAAGTGGGCCTAGCAGTTTATAAGCCTGCATAAATAAATTCTTAGCATATCACAATGTACAACAGTGTATGTATGTAAATGATCAACACTGTACTGTTTATATTTTAAAAAGGCAATCCCAAGCTCCATTCAGGTAGTTGTGTCATTCTGGAGGAAGGCATTTCCAAAGGTTTCCCATTAATTATTCATTAGGACTTGTGTAGCATTGTAAATATCTGGCAGGTCATAGTATCAGATGCAGCAACAAAAAGGGCAGAGCCGAGCTATGTACGCAGCATGGGCACACGGATTTGCATGGTTTTATCATCCATGGGTCAACATTTTAGTCCAGGAAGCACATGCTAAGCCTTGAGATGATACCTGAACAAACATGGTGCAAACCCTATGGTGCTGTCAGTGGTACTATAATCCCTTTGAGTAACAAAAGGTGCCCCCCACCACCACCTATCCCAAATGAAACTGATCGGAGTGTATGTCTACTTTAATTTAATCCAATTATGTCTAATTTCATCTGTTACAATGTAAACCCTCACGGGCAGGGCCCTCCTTACCATCGTGT